ACCTCGAGCGATCCCCCCACCTCGGCCTCCCAGAGTGCTAGGATTGTGAGCTACCGCACCAGGCCTGAAATTATCTTACTCAGTTGTTTACCTGTTTATTGTCAAATTCTGTCCTCTAGAATATAAACTCTTATAGCAATTCACCATTGTATCCTCCCAGACCTAAAATAATGACTGGAACATAGTAGGTCCTCAATAAATATTTGTTGAATCAATGACTTAGAGTATGTTGTTGATTATTCACAATCCCTTAAGCACTGCATAGCAAAGATAGGGTTTTTTTTTTCTTTTTTGTGGGGGGGGGGGAGAGATAGAGTGTCATTCTCTTGTCTGGGCTAGAGTGCCGTGGCGTCAGCCAGGCTCACAGCAAACTCAAACCTTGGCTCAAGCGATTCTCCTGCCTTAGCCTCCCGAGTAGCTGGGACTACAGGCACACACCACAACACCTGGCTATATATATATATATATATATTTTTTTTTTAGTTGTGCAGCTAATTTTTTTTCTATTTTTTTATAGTAGAGATGGGGTCTCACTCTTTCTCAGGCTGGTCTTGCACTCCTGAGCTCAAGCTCCTGCCTCAGCCTCCCAGAGTGCTAGGATTACAGGCGTGAGCCACCGCGCCCCACCTAAAGATAGGTTTTGAACACAGTCTAGACTTCTAAGCCCTCAGTTGTAACCTCTATATGCCCTACCTCTCTAGAAGCCTGTTACTTCTCTACACCTTTCTGAGACGGTGTTAGTGGCAGCCAAGCAGGAAGAAATGTGGGACTATGAACCAGTCACACCTAGGTGAGAATTCTTTAGGCCTAGGTGAGAATTCTGTAAGGATCATTCCACTCACCTCCTGTAGAGGGGGTCTCATGCTGAAAAATCTAAGAGGAAGGATTACAAAGACAAGTCAGCAATACCAGGAGAAAAATCAGTCTAGTTCCGCATATTACATCCAGTACCAATTATAAGAGGACTGCATACATTTAAAATAATATGAAAGTCACTTCTGGAAGTGGGAATAACATTCTAAGCAATATAAGTCACCAAGAAGTAAGCCAATTTGACTCCATAAAAACTTAACACTTTTTGCACATCTGAAAAATAGCTATAGATCCTTAATGAAAATTGACTAAAAAAGAAGAGAAAAATATTAAGAATCCAAAAGCTAAATGAGGAAAGGATGCAAACAGATAATTCATAAAAGTGAAAGTACAATAAGCAAATATATTGCAAAATGTTCAGCCTTACCAGTAATCAATGATGCCAATTAAAATAACAAGGAAGGGTCATTTTTTGCTTTTGTTCCCCAAATATATAATACCCAATATTGGCCAAGGCATCATGAAACAGGCTCTCTAATACATTACCAGAGGCAGAATAAAACTATGTGCAATCACTCTGGAAAACAATTGCCAGTGTTAATCAAGAGACAAGAAATAGCCACACTCTTAATTAAATAATCTCAATTATAAGCCCATATCATAAGGAAGCAGTTAGCTCTTCATTGCAGCATTATTGTAATCATCAAAACTGCAAACAATGGAAATTTACAGCAGTAAAGAAATACATTAAGGTAGCACATTTGATATAATCCAACCATAAAATGATAATTACAAAAACTGTGTAGCTACATGGAAAACTGTTACATTTAAAGGCAGGTACAAAAATTGCATATAGACTACAATTGCACTTCATCAAAATTCAGAAGTTTTGCACTTCAAAACACACCATTAATGAAAAGACAAGCCATAGATTAGGAGAAAATATTTGTAAATCATGTACCTTATAAAGGACTTGTATCTAGAGTAGCCTTATGTAACTCAAAAATAAAGACAACCCAATTAAAAATAGACAACATCAGCTGGGTGAGGTGGTTCATGCCTGTAATCCCAGCACTTTGGGAGTTGGCAGTGGGAGGAGTTTCATTTTAAAATGAAATGAGTCCCTCTGCTCAAGACCCAGGCTTATCTCAAAGTGAAAGCCAGACTGGGTGAGGTGGCTCATGCCTATAATCCTAGTAGTCTGGGAGGCCGAGGCAGGAGCTCAGGAGTTCAAGAGTAGCCTGAGCAAGAGCAAGACCCCCTCTCTACTAAAAGTAGAGAAATTATCAGGACATAGTGAGGCGGCCTATAGTCCCAGCTACTCAGGAGGGTGAGGCAAGAGGATTGGATCCCTTGAGCCCAGGAGTTTGAGGTTGCAGTGAGCTATGATGATGCCACTGCACTCTACCTAGGGCAACAGAGTGGTACTCTGTCTCAAAAAAAAAAAAGTTAAAGCCAGAGCTATACAATTGCTATAAGTGTCCAGTGATGGACACTCAGCTGACACCCCTTACCTCCCTGATCCCATATCCTATCTCTCTTTTCCTTGCTCATCCTCTAGTGACACCAGTCTCTTCGCTAGTCTTTAAACAGCCACCTTCTGTTCTCAAGGCCTTTGCTCTTACTATTCCCTTGGCCTAGAATGCTCTTCCTTTCGATATATGCAGGAATTCCTTTCTCACCTTCCTCAACTCTTTATTCAAATATTTAATATTTCTTTTTTAGTGAGACTTTCCCTGGCTACCTTCCTAAAATTACATGCCTATCCCTAACTTACACACATTTAAAAATCTCCTTTGCCTACTTTATTTTTCTCCTACTATATTATAATATATTATAATTTCTATAACTATATAATATACTATATTTGTCTCTCTTACCCACTAGAATAAATCTCCAAGAGAGTATGGATAGTTGTCTGTTTCTGTTGTATGTCATCTATAATGCCTAAAACAGTCCCTGGCACATAGTAAGCCCTCAATAAATTTTTTGAAAGAATGAATAAACAAGATTTCATAGACTTCTTTCCATATATGTTTACTTCATTCTTTTTAATGGCTGCATAGTATTCCACTAAATGAATACTACCATAATTTATTTAAGCAACCCCCTATTACTGAAGGACATTTAGCAGTTAGCATTATTGTATATAGGTATATATTATATATCTGGGCACCTGTATGTTTATTATGAAAATTCCTAGAAAGTGATTTTATGTCAAAGCACTTGAACATTTAAATTTTTGTTAGATATTCCCAAATTGATCTCCAAAAATATTATACCAATTTACACTTCTAGTCAACAGCATTCAAGAGTTTCCCAAACCCTCTTCAACCCGGATGTTATCAACTGGCTCATTATTTACCAATCTCATAAAAAAATGCTGCTTCACTGTAGTAGTCTTAATTGTAAAAGAAATAAAACATCTTGTTTTCCTTGTCAATCATTTGTACTTATTTTTCTATTGCTTTTTCAGATTTTTTGCTCATTCATTATTGGCTTATTGGTATTCATTCATTATTGTTTTTTTTTATTGATTGGAGTTCTATATCAATTTTAAGGAAATTTGCCTTCTTTTTATTTTATTTTATTTATTTATTTATTTTGAGACAGAGTATCACTCTGTTGCCCAGGCTAGAGTGCCATGGCATCAGCCTAGCTCACAGCAACCTCAAACTCCTGGGCTCAAGCGATCCTTCTGCCTCAGCCTCCCGAGTAGCTGGGACTATAGGCATGCACCACCATGCCCGGCTAATTTTTTCTATATATTTTTAGTTGGCCAATTAATTTCTTTCTATTTTTCAGTAGAGACAGGGTCTCGCTCTTGCTCAGGCTGGTTTCGAACTCCTGACCTTGAGCAACCTGCCCGCCTCAGCCTCCCAGAGTGCTAGGATTACAGGTGTCAGCCACTGCGCCCAGCCAAAATTTGCCTTCTATCTTATAAGCTGCAACTATTTTCCACATTTTTCTTTTGTAAATTTTGTTCACAGTGTCTTTGATAGTTAAAAAAAATTAATTTCTAAGGAGTGAAATTCAGTATTTTCTTTTTTGACCTCTGATTTTCATGTTAGCTTAGAGAAAGCTTCCCCACTCCAAGACTATAAAAACTACTCATGCTTTCATTTAATCACTGCATTTTTTTTTTTTTTTTGAGACAGAGTCTTGCTTTGTTGCCCAGGCTAGAGTAAGTGCCGTGGCGTCAGCCAAGCTCACAGCAAACTCAAACCTTGGCTCAAGCGATTCTCCTGCCTTAGCCTCCCGAGTAGCTGGGACTACAGGCATGTGCCACCATGCCCGCTAATTTTTTCTATATATATTACTTGGCCAATTAATTTCTTTCTATTTATAATAGAGATGGGATCTCACTGTTGCTCAGGCTGGTCTGGAACTCCTGACCTTGAGCAATCCGCCCGCCTCGGCCTCCCAGAGTGCTAGGATTACAGGCGTGAGCCACCGAGCCCGGCCAATCACTGCATTTTTGATGCTTCAATTTGTGACCACCTTGGAACTTCTTTTCGTGTAAACAGTAAAATAGAAGATTCAGTCCACTATTTTTATCTGCATGGCCTTGGGGCCCTACTCATTTATTAAATAGTTCATTTCCCACTGATTTGAAATACCACCTTTATCACACACTAAATTCGTCTGTATATTTTATTTATTTTTGAACTCTGTTCCATTGATCTGTCTCTTCCTGCACCAAAGCAAAAATGTTTTAATTTTATAACTTTATAAAATGTGTCAAAAAAAAAAAAAAAAAAAAAAAAAAAATGTGTCAATATCCAAAAGTGCTTGGCTTTCCCTAATTAATAATTGCAATTTTAAAATATAAAATAAAACACACTAAAGCTTATCTCCGCCGTCCCGTGTGTCTATCACTTCCTCAGAGGCATCTGAAAGACAGGCCAGTTCTCCTAAGGAGAAATTTTAAAAACTAACACTAAAGGAAGGAATTGAAGTGGCTCCTCTTGGGAGTAGAGCATTCTTGAGCAAACCCACTGAATTTAGAAAACAGTAGAGTCTCGTTCTCTCCGGACTTGGTTGGTGCTTCCACTCCAGGTCGCAACCTCGCACATGCGCGGACGCCTGCTGCTTTTCCCAGCTCAGCCTCTGGGGGCCGCCACCGGGCACCACCGCCTGTGGATCAGGCCCGCCTGCTGCTGTCGTGGCGTCACGTCCGGTCCTGGCCGGAAGTTTTCCGCTGGCAGACCGGGAAGTAGCCGAAGACAGGGCGATGGCAATTCTGGAGGCCTCGCTCCCGGGCAGACCGGAGGCCACAGTCCCCCCGCGGTAGACTGGATCTGGGTGGCGGGCTCCGGGGTCCCGAGGTGAAGAGCGTCAGGGGCTGAACTGAGACTTTAGAAGGGAGCCTTGGAATCCTCACGCCTCCTATTGGAGACCCTTCCCTGACGCTGGGCTCTAAACTGTCTTTGCCCAGGCTGCCCCGGAAGCAGGTCAGCCTGGTATCTTACCGTTCCTAAATGGAACGGCGCAGCTCAGGATTCATCCCCTTCATCACCACCACCACCACCACCACCAAGGCAGGTGGTAGCCCTGGGCCAGAGGTTCAAGGGTGCTGATTCTCCCTAACACCTCCTTTCCACCGCCGCAGGGATGGAAGGGTCTAAGAGTTCCAACAGCACCATGCAGGTGAGCTTCGTGTGCCAGCGTTGCAGCCAGCCCCTGAAACTGGACACGAGCTTCAAAATCCTGGACCGGGTCACCATCCAGGAGCTCACAGGTCAGTGAGACCCTTGGAAAGAGGGTGGTCAAGAATGCGGAAGGTGGGCAGCTTTAGAGATACAGTTCTTTGGGTGGCGAACTGTGTAGTCTGCCACAGACTCGGGCTTGTGACCCTAAGAAAGCTATTTTATCTCTCTTGTTCCCACTTTTTCTCATCGGGAACATAAAGGAGTTATGTGCGCTTCTGAGAGCTTTCTGTAGCAAAATAAAGGTCCTTATTTTTCTGCTCCTTCTGTTTCAGAGAAAAGGAATATGTATATATAATAATTGGCACTTGTTGAAAATTTACCATATGCCAAGTGCACTACACATATTCACTTAGTTCCTGCAACAAGCCCTATGGAGTAGTACCATCATGACATCATTTTACAGATGAGGACTTGAGGCACAGAGAGGTTAAGTAATTTACCCAAGGTCCAACAGCTGGTAAGTGGAGGAGTAGAGTCTCAAAGTCCCAAAAATTGAGATGAAATTAGAAAAAAAATTGAGAAGACTAAATAGGCAGCTTAAATAAGTTTATAGGTTTGGAATCAGCCTGCTTGAGTTTAAATCCTAGCTGTGATTTACTAGCTGAATGACTTTTTGCAAGTTACTTCATCTCTGTAAGCCTTGGTTTTTTAGTTTCTTTATCCATAAAATGTTAAACTGCTTCATAAGGTAGTTGTGAGGTTTAAATATGACAAAGTACATAAATAGTAATTTGCTGGGCAAATAGTACTCACTAGATGTTAGCTGCTATTATTAACTGATTTCTCTTTTTGAGGGAGAATTAACTGTTTAATATAGATTTTTAACTTTTTATTATGGAAAAATTCAAGCATACACAGTCAAGAGGATAGTATAATGACCTCCCTTGTATCCATTCCCCAGCTGAGAGCTTCTGTAGCAAAAGAAATTAGCCACATTCTGCTATTCTTACATCATCTATACCTCCACTCACCTCCTACCCTGACTTAATTATTATGTTTTTCACACATTTTTTAAAAAGGTAGACTTTCGCCGGGTGTGGTGGCTCACGCCTGTAATCCTAGCACTCTGGGAGGCTGAGGCGGGCAGATCGCTCGAGGTCAGGAGTTTGAAACCAGCCTGAGCAAGAGCGAGACCCTGTCTCTACTATAAATAGAAGGAAATTAATTGGCCAACTAATATATATAGAAAAAATTAGCCGGGCATGGTGGCGCATGCCTGTAGTCCCAGCTACTTGGGAGGCTGAGGCAGCAGGATTGCTTGAGCCAGGAGTTTGAGGTTGCTGTGAGCGAGGCTGACACCACCGTACTCACTCTAGCCCGGGCAACAGAGTGAGACTCTGTCTCAAAAAAATAAAAATAAAAAGGTAAACTTTCATGCATTGAAATATACAAATCTTAGTGTACATTTTTTTTTTTTTGAAACAGAGTCTCACTTTCTTGCCCAGGTTAGAGTGAGTGCCGTGGCATCAGCCTGGCTCACAGCAACCTCAATCTCCTGGGCTCAGCAATCCTACTGCCTCAGCCTCCCAAGTAGCTGGGACTACAGGCATGCACCACCATACCCAGCTAATTTTTTGTATATATATTTTTAGTTGATCAATTAAGTTCTTTCTATTTTTGGTAGAGACGGGGTCTCATTCAGGCTGGTTTTGAACTCCTGACCTCAAGCAATCCGCCCTCCTCAGCCTCCCAGAGTGCTAGGATTACGGGCATGAGCCACCTCGCCCGGCCAGTGTACATTTTTGACAAATGGATATACTCATATAATCTGGATCATTGCAATGTAGAAATGTTTCATCTTCCCTGAAAGTTTCCTTGTGTTCCTTCCCAGTTATTCTGGGGGAAAGGAGATGTTAACTTTCTTGATGGAAAATTTCAGAGTATATAATGAACCCCTGTGTACCCATCACCTAGTTTCAGCAGTTATCAATACGTATTTAATTGTGTTTTATCTATAGCTCCACCCATTCCTTCTCCAAATTATTTTGAAGCAAATCCCAAACATAAATGCCATAAATATTTCTGTAAGTATTTTTGAAAGATAAGAACTTTCTTAAAAGTAATCATAATGCCATCTTGCCTTAATTTTTTAACATTTCCTTAATTTGATTTAATGGGGCTGGAGGAGACAGCAGATTCTTCTTTGTGTAAATGGTACTTTAAGGAAAAGTTGGAGGTGGAGTGGTCATGAGGATATTTCAGATTCTTTTCCCAAACTTTCATATGCCCTCCTGGTTTAATAAAACTTTCTGACCCAATATTTTCCTTGCCCTTAGCTCCGTTACTTACCACAGCCCAGGCGAAACCAGGAGAGACCCAGGAGGAAGAGGCTAACTCAGGAGAGGTAATAGAAGTATCCTCTTCCCTGTCCACCGCATACAGTCAACATTCTAAGTGGGAGATTTGATATGAAAACACAGGAATGCAGGCTTGGTTTCTGCAGGGTACTTGGTGCTTCTAGAGCCCCCAGATTTTGTGGATCGCTGGTTAACAAGAGACATTCTACATGATCAGACCATTATGCATCATTGGAGATATATACATAGAAGTGCACCTGAGGTCACAAGGTTACTGAATGAGGCATCCATTCAAAAATGTTGGGTGAGGCTCTTTATTTGAAGCAGAATTATAAATTATTATCGGTCAGGGATGGGCTGACCTGTGTGTCCAGGTTGTTCCCACATGTCCCACGGCATTGGTTTGCATCTGTTGATCTAGCAAGTTATTAACATCCACTTCTCTCCATTCTCAAAAGCACCTTGGTTTGGACAGTGAATTGTATGATTAACCTGGCAGAAAGGATTGTCAGTGTCATTTTTAAACTGTAATAATGTCAGTGATCCTATGGAGCATCTGTGGAACAACATCCTGTGAGATAGTATTGAACATACACCTGAGATTTATCCTGCCCAAGTAGCAAGAGACCTGGAGTATTTTTTTTTTTTTTTTTTTTTTGAGACAGAGTCTCACTTTGTTGTCCAGGCTAGAGTGAGTGCCGTGGCGTCAGCCTAGCTCACAGCAACCTCAAACTCCTGGGCTCAAGTGATCCTCCTGCCTCAGCCTCCCGAGTAGCTGGGACTACAGGCATGCGCCACCATGCCCGGCTAATTTTTTATATATATATCAGTTGGCCAATTAATTTCTTTCTATTTATAGTAGAGACGGGGTCTCGCTCTTGCTCAGGCTGGTTTTGAACTCCTGACCTTGAGCAATCCGCCCGCCTCGGCCTCCCAAGAGCTAGGATTACAGGCGTGAGCCACAGCGCCTGGCCAGACCTGGAGTATTTACTCACCCACTGCTGACCTCAGTTGGAGTGGAGACCATTAATTCTGGCCAGTGCTCCCTTCAGGCAGTGTAGGAGCCAGGGACCAGAGAAAGACTTCACCAAAGAGGCATAGGGGGCTGGCAGTTGAAGTCAGTAGATGTCACAAGATTTTGATGACATATAAGTAATATCAAAATATTGAAAACATACAAATTATCTACTTTGTCTATGTTATGGCAAACTTCACTGCAGTCTAATCTGCCTTTTTCCTTGTACCATGAATTTGAGGACATTCTCTCCCCTACCCCTGACTGATGTTGAGAAAATGCAAATTTAATCATAAATAGAGTATAACATAACTATACTGAAATCCTGTTCCTCACAAAATAAATCAACTGGGAGTTGAAGTTTGTACCATGGGTCCTTTCTTATTCTACATATACAAGGATTAAGTAAATGATACCCATTTTCTTACGTCTCTGGGGTTTATCAAGTCTTGTGGTTATCCATCAAAAATAAAGCCATATAGTTCTGAGACTGGGAGATAAACTCCACCTTGATTGATTGATTGATTGCCATTTTTTTCCTTTGTCAGTATAGACTCCACCTTTTAGCTGACAAAACTCTAATGCCTTCTTATTTCTTTCCCAGGAGCCATTTATTGAAACTCGCCAGGATGGTGTCTCTCGAAGATTCATCCCTCCAGCCAGGTGCCTACTACTTCTCAGCCCCCTGTTTCTTACCAAAGGCCAGTAGAATTTTAATTGAACCCAGGAATCAAGACCTGGAGCCAGGTGATGGAGATGAGTCATCACCTAGCCTTTTCAGAAAAGATGTATTCCCTTCCTTATACCTGGCCCTTATCTTCCAGAGTTGATTTTTTCTTGTAGCCGTTTACACAGTGGGAAGGGACAATAACTCTAATGATGAAGAATTGAAAAAAGTTGAGGGAGTGATTGACTAATAAAGAAGATGAGCTCTTGAGAAGTTTTAAAATAGCAGATGTCGTTGGATGTTCAGGTCCTTAGCTCTCATTGACGCAGGTGAAGGTTGCTGACAGGGAGTGTAATAAAAAATGTTTTTTCCTGATTCTCCCTCCTTTTCTACCATAGACACACACACATATCGATTTTTGATGCCCCTCTCCCTCCTTAGTCCATCCAGGCCAACCTTCGTGCTGAGTGCCCCTGTGGAAGACTAGCATGGCCTTCCCTTGGGAGAGAGGTACCCGTGGGAGGTCAGTTGGGCTAGGAGTGGGTATGTGCCTTGAGGCCCCTCAGCTGGTGCTTGAGAGTCTCTGCCACTGTCACTGCAGTAGGTGGAGGAAGTCTCTCTGCTCCCTCATGTGGCCCATGGGCGGGGGGCTGTCTGCAGGATGATGTCTACAGAAAGTGCCAACAGCTTCACTTTGATCGGGGAGGCATCTGATGGCGGCACCATGGAGAACCTCAGCCGAAGACTGAAGGCAAGTTGGCCCCATTCCAGTGTCAAGCAGTAGGCCTGGCTGGTAGAGGACGTGGTTGGGCAGATGGCATAGGGGAGGCCCTACCCTAACTCTCCCACACTTCCAGGTTACTGGGGACCTTTTTGACATCATGTCGGGCCAGACAGATGTGGATCATCCACTGTGTGAGGAATGCACAGATACTCTTTTAGACCAGCTGGACACTCAGCTCAACGTCACTGAAAATGAGTGTCAGAACTACAAGTGAGTGCCTCTAGAGCCAGGGCTCCAAGCAGATAACGCTTGAGGCTGCTTGGTCCTTACCCTGAGAGCTCTGCTCCACTGAGGCAGACGGAACAGCAGGTTCTCTCTGGTAAATATACACTGCCTGTGTCCTTGGCAGACGCTGTTTGGAGATCTTAGAGCAAATGAATGAGGATGATAGTGAGCAGCTACAGATGGAGCTCACAGAGCTGGCTTTAGAGGAGGAGAGGCTGATCCAGGAGCTGGAAGATGTGGAAAAGAACCGCAAGATGGTGGCAGAGAATCTTGAGAAGGTCCAGGCTGAGGCTGAGAGACTGGATCAGGAGGAAGCTCAGTGAGTACTTAGCCTGTTCTATCTTCCCGCCCTCAAGTCTCCAGGAGAAGAAATGGTTTCCAGCTGAATGTGTCTGATTAGTTTATAATCTGTAGTCAGCTGTCAGTCAGCAGCATGTTTGTGCCAGTCCTGCATGTTGTTTCCAGGCCCTGTTTCTAGAAGTTTATTAGGAGGGTTGTGTATGAAGAGTCAGCATGATTCTTTTCTTTTCTTTTCTTTTCTTTTTTATTTACAGTATTATAGAAGTGAAAGAGTCAGCATGATTAAATGATAAAAGGGTGTTGGTTAAATAGAATGCAGAAACCAGGGCTCTAGTCTTAGCTCTGTCCTGTAGGGAATGGGCTTATTTTGATAAGTCAGCCACTTTCCAGCTGTCCTCATCTGGAAAGATGAACACATTAGCCTACATTTCTTCCCTCCCAGCTCAAAAATCTCATGGTTGTCCTTGACCTGAGAGAACCTGATGTGGAACCTAGTGGAAGAGAAACAGTATCCACTCTTAACTAAAGTTGGGAAAGTGAAGGACAGAGAAAGTCAAATTTTTGAGTAGTATAAGAAGTTTCACTGGAAATTTTTATATTAACTATTTCAGGGACAGTAAGTTTATAGAAGTGAAGCTATAGAAGGCCAATTATGCCCAATTCATGGAACAAGATACTCTTAACCCATTCGCCTCACTTCTGAAAAAGATCAGAAATAACGAGGTTTTTTGGCTTTGGGAGAATTCTTTTTTTCTCCACCTTTTTGCATATGGGCAGCCGGAATTTGAGACATTTCTGTCCCTCCCAGGCAAAACAACTAGGGCATGTATATTCCTCTGAGTGGGATCTATGCTAAATATATAAAATGCTGTAGGTAGATGTAACCATACTCACTAGAGTAAATTGTTCAGAGGCATGGGGAGGGGAAACTTCGCCATCAAACTCACAGCCTTCAATGACCCCTTGGCTGCTCACAGGTACCAGAGGGAATACAGTGAATTCAAACGACAACAGCTGGAGCTGGATGATGAGCTGAAGAGTGTAGAAAACCAAATGCGTTATGCCCAGATGCAGCTGGACAAGCTGAAGAAAACCAACGTCTTTAATGCGACCTTCCACATCTGGTAATGAGAGCTGGAGGGTGAGGAACATCTGGAGAGCACCACACATATGTGGCTCTTAGCTGTTGAGCACTAAGCCAGGGTGCCCAACTGTCACAAAAGAGGGACTGTGTGTTATCTTCACCCAGCTAGCTTTCTTTCATTCCTTGTGATAGGATAGGCACAATCAGGGTATTAGAATTCTTAGAGTTTGGTGACATCTACTCTTCCAAAGAAAGGAAAAGGTCTGAGGCCTCCAGTGACATGAAAACCTGGTTAGCTGCCTGGTGCTGATTTCTTACCCCCAGGGTTATTCATATATTAATTTATTTGGTATTGTATCCATTTAATAACTGTTGAGCATCTACTATTGAGCATGACAGGCACTGTGTTAAGTGCTAGGAGGGTGACAGCAAAGAATACAGTGTGCAGTCTACCTTCTACTTATGATCTGGTGGAAGAGATGGATAAATAATAAGCAATTGGAATGCCATGTGATAATGATAAACCCAGGGTTTATGAGAACATAGAAGGGTACTTTATCCAATTGTGAGGCCACGTGAAAAACTTACCTCAGAGGATGTTGATGTTTAAACTGAGAGATAAAGTAGAAGTCTGGGGAGGCGGGGGGGCGGGAGGGGGTGTGTGAAGGGAGAGGGTTGTTCCTTGGCAAAGAGAACATCATGTGCAAAGAAACAGAGGAAAGAGGGAGTGGTGAATTCAGAGAACTGAAAGAAGCTTATTGTGACTGAAGCTTGAGCATGAAGGGGAGAGTGACTGGATATGAAACTGGAGAGTTACCAGTTCCTACAAGATATTATAGGCCTCATTAAGGGATTTGAACTTGACCCAAAGGCAGTAGGAACCATTGAATTATTTTAGGCAGGGAAGTGACATAAAATGCCACTTCATCTGCATTTTATTGCATTCACGGGCAATGTAGGAAAGGACTTGTCAGGATGAATCTAAAGAGGAAAAGAGTAGTAGTGTTGAATTTGGAGGGACGTGGACAGATTTAAGAGATGTAGGAGGTAGAATTAGCACAGCTTCTCTCAGCAGAGGTAGTTTTGCGGGGAGGACCTGAGAGAGATCATTCAAAGATAACATCCAGGTTTCAGCTTTGGCATCTAAGCAGCAGGGGGAAAAAAGCTTTGGCCATGTATTTAAAGTGCCAAGGAGAGCTTGGATATATGAATCTGAAGATGAGAGAGCTCATGCTTGGTTGTGAGTGAGAGCAGGAATTCTCAAAAGTTTTAAGTAATCCCTGTATTTTCCTTGCCCTTCTGCCTTCCTCTGTAGGCACAGTGGACAATTTGGCACCATCAATAACTTCAGACTGGGTCGCCTGCCCAGTGTTCCTGTGGAATGGAATGAGATTAATGCTGCTTGGGGCCAGACCGTGTTGCTGCTCCATGCCCTGGCCAATAAGATGGGTCTGAAATTTCAGAGGTAGGAAATGTAGCCCTTTCCTGAGGTGTGGTGTGTCTTTGATATAATCTGTATCTCCAACCTGGTACTGCTCTCCACCATGTCAGGAGCCCTTGCTGCCAACGGCCTGGGAGTTTTCTGTGGGTAGAGATCCTGTCTGCTTCTGATTTTCCCTCATCACACTGATCGAGTAGTCACTGAGCTGCATGACCACAGCAATCCCCAGCCTACAATCTCCAGAATTTCAGTGTTCCTCAGAATATTTTCAGTTTTTGTTTTTTAAATCTAAACCACAACATAACATTTGTCCATGAATGGCCCTAGATAATTATATAATAAATATAGTTTGTTCAGTAAACAAAATCTTTTAAACATGATTCCTTTGAGGAGGTAGGAGAGAGGGCTGAGAATAATAAAAGCCTTGTGTAGGATGAGTGAAAATCATTATGTTGTAACTTCCCAATGATCACTTTAGGAGGAGTCCTGTATCCATTTCTGTGTGCATCTCTATTCTAGGTATCGACTTGTTCCTTACGGAAACCATTCATACCTGGAGTCTCTGACAGACAAATCTAAGGTACTCTGGGAAGCTCCATTTTCACTGGAATACAGAATTCTTAGACCTTCTAACAAAATGGTTTGCTTTGATACTGGCATTATTCACTTTCTTATACTATCTCATGAAGAGCCAATGTTGTGTTCAGTATTTTGTCTAGTTCAGGTTTAGCTCTCTGGAGCTTAGAGAGAAAAATTCGGTTTTTACAGTCTGTTGAGAAGGGATATGGGCAGGTCAGAGGAGGATGTGTGCCCTAGGATAGAGAAAGAATCACTGTGATACAGATGTTATAGGTTGAGTATCCCTCATCCAAATGTTGGGACCCAAAGTATTTCAGATTTGGAATTTTTTAAATTTTGGAATATTTGCATATAATGAAATATTTTGGGGATGGGATCTAAGTCTAAACATGAAATTCATGTATAGTTCATATACACCTTATACACAGAGGGTAACAGAAATTTAATACATAATTTTGTGCACGAAACAAAGTTTGTGTACATTGAACCATCAGAAAGCAGAGGTGTCAGCTATGGAATTCTCCACTTGCAGTGTCATGTTGGTATTCAAAAAGTTTCAGGTTTTGGAGCATTTTGGATTTCAGATTTTCAGATTAGGGATGCTCAACCTGTAGGACATTTCCACTGATAGTGAAATGGTTCTATGTGCATTGTTATTTGCCCAAGATTATTGTATTGTTCAAGGTTGTGGAAGACAGAGTCCAGACACAATACATGTTTCCTGTAGGATACAGACAGAACATGACTCACAGATAAATAGGTTTGGAAACGGTCTCTGGTGGCCTGTGTTGGTGTCACACCGATAGCCAATTCTCTCTTCTTGAGCAGGAGCTGCCATTATACTGTTCTGGTGGATTGCGGTTTTTCTGGGACAACAAGTTTGACCATGCAATGGTAGCTTTCCTGGACTGTGTGCAGCAGTTCAAAGAAGAGGTTGAGAAAGGCGAGACACGTTTTTGTCTTCCTTACAGGTCAGTATGCTCCAAAACTGAGTGAATCTATAGTAGGACCAAACTGGACAGAATTGAAATGACAGTAAGAATAGCAGCAAAACAGTATAAATGGTGGGAAAGCAAAAAATGGTGCAAAATCATAGGGCACTAATGGGCAAAAACTGATCCAACACTACAAGCAGGACAGAACGTGACCACTAGTCCCTGGAGTAAAAGAATGTTGCCTTAGAGGGTTTTGGGGATTTTCTTGGCACAGAGCTCAAGCCTGCTCTCCAATTTCAGAAAGGTTTTTCCCTGAAGCTCTTGGAAATATACAGGAATGCTTCTTCTGGTCAACTTTTATAGGAACCCAGTGATGGATGGAAACCTAAGTTCTTACCTAGAGTAAGGCTGCTTCTATCACCCTGAAAGCATTTCTTTTCTTCTGCCTCCCTTCTCTCCCAGGGAGTTCACAGATGCCTAGGAAAACAGTGAGGAGTACTGTAACCCTCACTCACTCTCTGCTCCAAGGCTTCTCTCTTCTATTTGGGTGTGTGTCCTGTCCCTGTACTCTGCAATGACAATGAGGCTCTTGTGACAGTCTCCTTGATTTTTGGCTTTCATGCAAATCCAAAATACACTCCCGTTCCTCACCAAGTGTTCTTTAATAGATAAAATGACGTGAATGGTCCCATGATCAAGTCTCTGCCCATTTGCCTGAACTGACTTAACTCGGATCTGTTACTAATGAGTTTTGCTGTGTCCATCTGCAGGATGGATGTGGAGAAAGGCAAAATAGAAGATACAGGAGGCAGCGGCGGCTCCTATTCTATCAAAACCCAGTTTAACTCTGAGGAACAGTGGACAAAAGCTCTCAAGTTCATGTTGACAAATCTTAAATGGGGTCTTGCTTGGGTATCTTCACAATTTTATAACAAATGACTTTCTTTTTTTCTTAGGGGGATGTTTGCCTTAAAGGCTTTAAAGTTTGTTTTGTTTGCAAAACTGTTTTAAATTAAATTTGGGTAATATTAAACAACACATGTTTACAATACCAAAAAAAGAAAAAATCCACAAAAGCCACTTTATTTTAAAATATTGTATGACAGTTTCCAGAGCTACAACATGCCATGTATAGCTGCCACCCCTTGTCTTAGTTTTGACTCTTAACCCCTTGTCTTCCTTTCCCTTTATCCCCTGAAAACAACTAATTTAAGTTTGCTTTTTTTTTAAAAAACTGAGTTGAATTGAGATCCATGTGTTTTCACTGGATTTTATCTCTCTCAACTTCCTGCACTTACAATATGAAATAGAAACTTTTGTCTCCACTGAGACTATGATATGTTTGAGTCGCACAGTTGGATAACGTGGGAAAATGACATCTAAGCTTTGCCTGGTCACCATGTGATGTGATCAGAAGCTTGAAATTTAACACTTCTCCTCACTTGGTTCTAGTACTGGATGCCTACTTTGCTCTGTGTTAGAGATATGAAATGGTGTTTGATGTTGTTTGAGACATTATGGAGAGATTTAATTATTTGTAATAAAAGATTTGCTACAGTCTGCTAACTGCCCAGAGGTCCACTGTTGGGTTTTTCTTTAACTAAAATAGAATACTTTGCATTCTGGGAGAATTGAGTTCAAGTGCAGGTATGTGGAAATGCTGTTGGAAAATGTTTAGAGATGAGTTAGTTTTAGTTTTAAAAAGAGATACTAGTAAAATAGATAGCTGTTGAAGAAGCTCTGTTTGTATAAATCTCAATAACAGAACAGAAATGTTAAACTAACTTTAACGGGAAATAGGGGTAGGGTTGGGGGGCAGTAAAAGGGGGAAATAGGGCTGCCACCTTGATGTTCAGTCAAGCTCACCCAAACACTCTGTTTTCTAGCCCCTGATTAATACTAATCTCCATGTCTGATGTTCCACCTCTTAATAAAATTAAGTTAAAGAAAAGCCATAAATTATCTTGTTAAACAAAAGTGAACCAACTTCACTAATCTGTCTCCTCTCAGCTCTTTGACATTTTCAGTCTGATAAGACAAGGACATGCTTGTCCACCTCAACTATTTCTCTGTTGCAGAAAAATAAGCATGAACTTGGGATACAAAATACATTTTAAGAGACTTGGAACTTTTGTACCCTGAGTATGAAAGTAAACAGAGGGAGGCATGAGTGCAGTGACAGAGGGCTGTTTATATTTGGTGGATTCAGTCTGCCTCATGTGTTAGAGGAAGCAGCAGCCCTCCGAGCTCTGGCTGCCAGGTGGGGAGGAACAGGCTGCTGTCGCCTCGGAGTGTTGGCTCCCACGCTGTGAGTCAGGATTGCGTAAGAGAACTCAGCAATGCTCGCCAAGGCAATGCCAGTGATGCTCTGTAAATGTCCCATGACCTTCAGAAATAGAGACAGATTTCTTATTTCTACATATTTTAGTGTACAAACACACATTACTTGGGATATTCTCTCAAGCCAAATGTAAATTTTTTCATGTCTCTGAACCTACATAGAAGATCAAGTGCAGATTCCAGTGTTTGCCAGTGGCCAAATTACATTAGGGTACCTTTGCCCTAATAGTGTTAGCATGGAACATTTCTGCTAGACATTTCCCTCTGCTGGAGATAAGTTTTGTGAAATACAAGGGGGATATTTAGGCCTTGACTTGTTCTTTATTTGTCAGGATATATACTTATTGGACTTTAACATAATAGCAGATCATAATTATAAAGGGAAATGAGCAAGCTGAACTTGGGCCTCCATTTCCAATTTCATAAGAGGAAAACTGGAGAAAACATTTCCGTCCTCTCCTAGTTTTTTCCTCCAAATCCTGCTCACCCATCCTAATCATGAGTCTTGGCATTTATCTTCTGTTTTACTTTAACTGATGGGGGACTGCTTTCTTTCTTTCTTTTTTTTTTGAGACAGAGTCTCACTCTGTTGTCCAGGCTAAAGTACTGCAGCATCAGCCTAGCTCACAGCAACCTCAAATTCCTGGGCTCAAGCATTCCTTCTGCCTCAGCCTCCCGAGTAGCTGGGGCTACAGGCATGTGCCACCATGCCCAGCTAATTTTTTCTCTATATATATTTGACCAATTAATTTCTTTCTATGTATAGTAGAGACGGGGTCTTGCTCTTGCTCAGGCTGGTTTCGAACTCCTGACCTTGAGCCATCCACCTGCCTCAGCCTCCTAGAGTGCTAGGATTACAGGTGTGAGCCACCACGCCTGGCCTGGGGGACTGCTTTCTATTAAATGAATTCTCACCATGCTGGACCTGCTCAGTGGTGCATACCTGGCTCCAACACTCATGGTTTTGGATGAAAGCACTTGCTGCAATGATTCCTACTGCCAACAGCATGAAGTCTTCCTTTACTGAAATGAACTTTTCCCTGAGTGATTAAAACCATATTAATTTTAGAGCTACAATGAAACTTGATCTTCCAAATCCTAGGATCATAGAACTTCAACTGTGAATTATTTTGATCATCTTGGATTTTTAGACATGGAATGAAATAGTCAAGTAATAGCTCACTGACCTGCTCCCCCATCCTGCCCCAACTCAACTGGGATTGAAACAGGAGTCTTGTGTCTGAATGGTTTATAGGCCTTTTGTTGTTCCATCTGTCTCCCTAACAAATGTAACTGTGAAGCTTTTAACCAGTCTGTCTTTACAGTAATCAAACACTTTTGTCCAAGTTGTAACCCTGTGACTGGCTTTTTTTCCTAAATGACTATAAAAGCAGTCCAGTAATCTCAAATTATAAGCAGGTATAAAGGAAGAACAAGGAAAGAAAATAAGTTAATTAATTGAAGTAATTTAAATTTAAAAGTAAAAGCCTTTAGGGTTTTCCTGATTGGGCTCAGTCATCTGTATCCAAGCAATATATTGAAAGTTAATGAGAACTAGTAACCTGTGCAGGTTATCTGTGGACTGGATGCCTTGCTAGGTTAAATCCATTCCCCAAGTTCTTGTGGTTTGTTCCCCATTCCCTGTACCTGGAAGGAATCTACCATATAGCAGTTGCCTTACCCTTGCAGCTGACTCGGTGTAGAGTTCTCAATTGAAGTCCTCAGCAGGCTGTCGTATATGGGTTCATGCAGAAGATAGACCAGGTCAAGCAAGGTCAGGCAGGTTGCATGCAGCTGTGTAACTGGAACCAAACAGCCATTGTATCCTAGATGGAGTATGGGCATGGTGGGGAGCATTAGTGGATCTTATCTGATCATAACCACAGCTGTCTTGTGACATAAAGCTGTGGAGCTGCTATTGTGCTTCCTGGTTGCTATATTCTACAATAAGAAATCTGTTTAGCTGGAGATCAATTTTAAAGGACAAAGGGAGGGGTAGAGAAACCTACATCTATAGTATATATACAATTAGGGTACATTTGTTCCTCTCTTATCTTATGCCTCTACATAAAATCAACTCTTTGATACTGTAATAAAAAAATGCCAGGTGAGTCCAAACAGAAACCAGTAGCTAAGACCTCTGAACTTCATTCCCTGACAAGTGCCAGAGGGAACACATTTTTCAGTCATCCAGAGACAAGAGACACCATCAGGCTGCCTACTGCTCCTCACTGGCAAGTTCTGCCCACCACTCCCAAAGCCCTCTGTACATTTTTTATTGCCTTCTATGGAAGTCTCCAACCCACATTCCCTGACACACTTAATAAAGTACCTAAAACCTCTAGGAGCATCTCCACATATGCCAGGGGAGTGGGCAGATTGATTTGGAAGTTTAGAGACTTCAAAACATCAAGCTCTGACTCCAGCAGTTCTTCTTTAGTGTACAGATACCCTAGAGCCTGGAGGAAATTCAAGACTGTAATGTTGCTGATTATCTGAGCGAAGAAAAACAAAACAGAGAGAGGGAGAGAAGGACGTCAGGACAAGGGTCATGTATCTTGGCAGAATGCACAAAACCCTTCACCATCTAGCCCATGCCTTCATCTCCAGTCTTGTCTCTTGGTCATTCCCCCCTCACACTCTGATTATAATTCAGAATTACTTGCAGTTTCCAAACCTACCGTGCTTTCCTTCTCCAAGCCACCACATACTGTGTTTTCTGTACCTGGACCTCTTCCTTTTCTCCCCTCCTCTCTCCCTGCTTTCCCTAACTCTTCTCTCTCTTCTCTTAGGATCCACCCATCTCCCACTTAACCCCACTTCAGGAACTCATTTTCTCTAAATATATTTCCTTGACTCTCCAAGGCTGATGAGGTACATTCATAACCCTCTGTATTTATATTAATCAGAGCTCTTTTCCACATTATTTGAATGTATGTCTTTTCCCATTACATAATACATTCCTTGAGAGCACAGACAGTATTTTTACTGTTGTAGCTATGGCACCTAGTACAGCATCTGGCCATAGAATAAACTCAGTAAATATTTGCTGGATGAATGACATTTTACTGTATAGGCATTGGGTAGTGATGTGGGAACATTTTATCCTCTATAAATGTAATAGTTCGCCTTTAATGCCGATAGGTAGGTTGGCAATTCAGGCATCTTATGTAAACTGTCCTTGATTCCAAGGGGAGGAAAGGTGACCTGTATGAATGATGGCTTCTGTCCAGCAATTACACTTTGGGAACAGAACAGAACTTCAGGCTATTTAATAACTGCCTCTGTGTGACTGTGTGTGTGTGTGTGTGTGTGTGTGTGTGTGTGTGTGTGTGTAGGAGGTATGCTTAGGAAGCATAATTATACTCTGGAATTTCCACGTGAGTATTATCACCTAGCCTAACTAAGAGCAGGTTTTTCACAGCCACCTTTGGATGAGCTGCTTTCTTTCTCACACTCAGTTGCCTGTGAGCAACCTCAGTTCCTTACTTTGTAGTGGAAGGAAAGTTTACTGGCCAGCTGAACACACGACACAAGACGGAGAATAAACTTGTTGAAAATCTTCTCTTTCAGAGCCCTCCAGTTATGAGACTCTGTCTTCTCGTTATCTCTCCGCTGAACTGTGGCTTGCCTGCAGATGTTCTCTACCTGTTTAACCATAAACCTATACAAGGAAGGAAAGGAGAGAGTAAGCAATCCACACTCATAACTAAAGGGAGTTTGTGCTTCAAACTATGCTACATTTTATCCTCTCCAATATCAATTGCTGGCTAAGAAATTTACATTTGCAAGTTAAAGAGAGAAGGTGTAAAACCAGGCCTCAGGGTAAGGGGAAACTAAATAATACTTTCCTTAAAGATTTAGGGGACATTAGCCATTCTGAGAAGCACCACTCACAAAGGCCTTATACTGAGGGCTTTACCTTTCTAGGATTTCTACAGCCAGGTAGCTCACAGATTTCTCCAGACACCATTGTTCAGACAGGAGAAAAACAAACTCTGCCAAAACAGGAAAAAAAAGAGCCTAATTCACAAGATGCAACCAAAACCACTCTGTGAACTCTTGGCATTGTGTAAAAGCCATGATGGGGCCCAGGGGGGAGGGTCAGGAGGTGAGAAAGATGAGACTGAAACAACCAAAGCTGAGCTTGGTTTTCTTTGCTGCCAGTAGGCAGATCAGAGGCATGAAAAAGAGGCTGATCAAGTGCCAAAGACAAGAGCTTACCGAGCCCCCTTCGTAACCCCTGAGCCTTCATGTGGGTATCAGCTGATAAAAGACTTGGCCAGTTACAAACATACCAGCTGGTCTAGTTGGCCTCTACACCATGCTGGGAGCCCCCAGCTTCAAGGAAGATTATTGGATGGATAAAAACCTTAACCCCTATCTTCTGTTTTCAGTGGAATGTTGGCAGGAACAGAAAGGTCCCTTCTGGAGCTTCAATATTCTTTATGACATTGTTTGTTTAGTAACCACCCTCTGGAGAACTCCCATTGCTTTACAAACACGATTCACCTTACAGCTGGACACCGTCTCTCCACCAGTTTGTTGGGTAAATCTGTGGTGGCTGAGCCTCTCCCTAGGAGCAAGTTTGTTACTGTGGAATGGCTTGTTTTTTTTTTTTTTTTTTTTTTTTTTTTTTTATTTTTTTTTTTAAGACTAGTCAAGTGCAGTAGTGAGGAGGGGGGAAAGTAGTAGAACAAGGAGTTCAATCTGTAACTGACTGTGAACAATCACGTGAGATAACTCACTACCTTCGGACCAGCCGAATGGCTTGTTTTGAAGAAACATCCCCTAAATCAAGGAACATCCCAATTTAGGGGGAGGGAATCATTAGGAAGGTGGGAAGGGTGAGATTCCTTGGCAAGATTTTAACTCACTTCTGTTTCTCTTTGAAAGAACAGCCCCAGATAGAATTCTATTTAGTTTGCAATGTCATTAGAGGGTGGAAACAAGGGCAAATGTTAGTTCGCAACAAAGAAGCCTCCTGCAGACCGAAGGATTTTTGGCATTGATCAGCAAAGAATTATACATACAGTCAAATTATCATATGTCTCCAGAGAAATTTTACTTTCTTAGGAAAAAACTATAAAAAAGTTAAGCTAGCACAAGACAGTTCAATGATCTCCTTGACACACATTACACGTAGATATATGTATAAAACCTTATTGTTACACAACCCTAGAATACATAATTGTATGTTATTACCCAGTCCTTTAGCTTTATGTCTTAGTTTTGCTCTGTGTGTGTGTGCAGTTAGTTTGGTTTGCTTTGCTTTTAGTTTGAATTGTCTGGGCATTTGTTTCTATTTTCATTTTTTTTAAGAGACTGTCTCATTGTGTCATTGAGCAGGCTGGAGTGCAGTGGTGCATTTCATATCTCACTGCAACCTTCAACTCCTGGGCTCAAGCGATCCTCCCACCTTAGTGTCCCGCGTAGCTAGGACTACAGATGTGGGCCACCACACTGGCTAATTTTTTGAAAAATTTTTTTGTAGAGATGATGTCTCCCTGTGTTGCCCAGGCTGGTTTTGAACTCCTGGTCTCAAGTGGTCCTCCTGCTTTGGCCTCACAAAATGCTGGGATTACAGGCATAAACTACCACACCTAGCTGTTTTCCATTCTAATTTCCCAGAAAACTGAACTTGGATTAGGTGGAAAGGATGAGGGTTACCCCTTTCCCTCACTACTGGCCCTACTTCCTCCACTTACAAACATACTCAGATTTACTATTAACTAAAAGACCCTCTGCTTCTGCCCTCTTAAGCTTGGGCTCTATCTCTCTCCTTGCCATCATTGTTGAATTTCCTGAAAGCCTGCCTTACACACCTGCTGCTTCCACTTCATCATTCACTCACTAATTTTCTCAGTTTGGCTTCTACCTTTACCAACTTGCTGAAATGGTTATCTTGAAGGTCAGAAAATATGTCCTTTACCAACTTGCTGAAATGGTTATCTTGAAGGTCAGAAAATATGTCCAAATTGTTAAATATCATGGCCTTTTTGCAATCCTCATTCCTGTTGATATCCCTGAAACTGCTGACCATCATCCCCTTGAAACTCTCCTCTGGGCTTCCAAAAACTGCTTGGTTCTGTTCCTATCTCCCTAACCACTCCTTTTATTTCCTTCACAACTCTTCTTCCTACTCCAATTCCTTGAAAACAAAATGTTTCCCAGGGAACTGTCCTTGGCCTGCTTCTCTTTTTTCCTTCTCTAGAAGCTCAATGATATCATTGTAAGACAACTTGCAAACCTTTATCTCTAGTTCTGACCTCTCTTCTACTTTTTAAACAACTTGCTAGACCCCTTCCTCTAGATGATCTGCAAGCACCTGAAACTCAGTAGATCCCAAACCAAAGCTGTTATCTGTCCTAAACAAAAGTCACATTTTGTAATGCGTGTTTCTTTTAATGGCACCACTATACTCTTAGTCTCTTAGGCTCAACATAGTCATCTTTACCTTCTTCACTTCTTAAATTCATCCACAGCAGGCCTCCGATTTTGCCTCTGAAATGTTTTTAAGCCATCCTCCCTTGTCATTCCCTCTTCCCTATCACCCCAGCCTACCTACCTCCCATCTCTTTCTAGGGGAATCCTTCCTTTATATCACTGCCAAAATAATGTTTACTGAGGCAGAGGTTATAGTCTTAGCACTCCCTTATTTTAAAACCTTCAATGTCTTTTTGTTGTCCTACTAAAGCAAGTATAAACTCCTCTCCTTGACATTCAATCTTCCACATGGAATGTCTCCAAACTACCTTTCTGGTCTTAATTTCAACCACTCTTCCCATGCTCTGGCCAAGGTGGACTGCACTGTACCCATTTCCATAGCTTTACTCATGCTATCCTCTTCACCAACCAAACTGGCATCCTTCCTTCAAGGTCTACCTGAAACGCCACGATGCCTGGATCGCTCCCTGTATTCTTCCTATCACCCATCCCTCCTTTCCATCCCTATAAAAGCTTGTTTTATCTACCTCTCATGCCACTTACCTAACCATACCTGTACCTAGTCGTTTGCATATTTGGCCTAATATCCCTCAAAGATTGCATATGGCTTGAAAGCACGGACTATATTTCTATTTCATCCTTCTGCCTAGGCAATGTCACTAATAATTATACGTAGAAGAAATCAAGGGTAGAGCACTAGTTTGTATTGTTTATCACGACATCCCTGGCACCTGGCATACAGTAGGTGTTAACACAGATTCTTGGCCAGGTGTGGTGGCTCACGCCTGTAATCCTAGCACTCTGGGATGCCGAGGCAGGCGGATTGCTCGAGGTCAGGAGTTCGAAACCAGCTTGAGTGAGACCCTGTCTCTACCAAAAATAGAAAGAAATTAATTGGCCAACTAATATATATAGAAAAAATTAGCTGGGCATGGTGGTGCATGCCTGTAGTCCCAGCTACTCGTGAGGCTCAGGCAGGAGGATTGCTTGAGCCCAGGAGTTTGAGGTTGCTGTGAGCTAGGCTGACGCCATGTTCTAGCCTGGGCAACAAAGTGAGACTCTGTCTCAAAAACAACCAAACAAAAAAACCCACAGATACTTTGGATGAATAAAATAAACTGAATCCCAAGGTTGTTGCCTCAAAGCCAGATGCCCCAGCCCCCCACAGCCCCAGCTCCCGGCCCAGCTGCCACACCCACGATCCGGGTCTCCCTGAAGCCGCCCGTCCGACCCGCAGCCTCCTGCACTGCTCGCTCATTCTGCTGGGCCAAGTGAAGCAGAGCGTCTTCGATCGTCTCTGTGGCAACAACTCCAAACTGAAAGTCACTGAGGGAGGCCAACCTCGGCCTCATAGGTCCGTCCATATTCACCAGCCTCTTGGGGCACCTGGACGGTTCACTGAAAGTATAAACCGGCCTCCCTAGATTCTCCCCAGTCTTCCGCCACACCCTGGGTTCCTCGTCCGCTTCCAATGCGCTTGTCCTCGCCTCAAGTCTGAGGAAAACCCAATTCCCACCACAGCCTCGCGCACTTCACAGCTTTTTCACGCCCCAACGGCTGCGGACCCGTCAGCCAATCAGAAAGCTCGACCGCTTCCCGCCTCCCCCGCCCTTTCCCTCTGGCCAAGAGTCGCAGCTCTGCCCGGAAATGGGCACGCGGACTACAACTCCCAGCGTCCCTGCAGGGGCCAAGGACTACGATTCCCAGAGAGCCCCGCGCCTCGGGACTGCGTAGGGTGGAGCGGCAACATGGCGGGGTCAGGAGCTGGTGATCATGTCGATGATGCTAAGAGTGGAAAGGCCCCATTTGCCCAGCGCATCGACCCGACTCGCGAGAAACTGACTCCCGCACAACTGCAATTCATGCGGCAGGTGCAGCTTGCCCAGTGGCAGAAGACGCTGCCACAGCGGCGGACCCGGAACATCGTGACCGGCCTAGGCATCGGGGCCCTGGTCTTAGCTATTTGTATCCGTCCGGGCTCCAGACTCTTGGAGACCGCATGTGGGGGTAGGGGAAGGGGAACAGAAGAGTTTAGGAGGGCTAAGGCAGCCATTTAATGTTTGGGTACAGTGCTGTTAATACTCTTTTAATATGATTTGATAACAGCAATAGTTGTGGGTCAGGGCTCAGAAAGAGCAGTGGGCTGAAGGCCGGGATCATTGATTTGGGAGAATGGAGGGTAACAAGGGTGGAAGAGCATGTCTAAGAAAAGGGAATGTGCATATTCCATTTCCTGAACCCACCTCCCCAGATGGTTACACCTTCTACTCGGTGTCCCAGGAGCGTTTCCTCGATGAGCTGGAAGATGAGGCCAAAGCCGCTCGAGCTCGAGCTCTGGCAAGGGCATCAGGACCCTAATCTGGATGGGCATTGCACATCTCCAACCTGCGGGAGCTCCTTCACATGGTGGATGATGTCCCACGACCCTGCCTGTAGAAATTGAAGCCTGCTCACAGCATCGCTGGCCTTCTCACTAACCTTGGTTCATGATTAAGCCAGAGAAGCCAAGGACTTAAAGCATTTGGCCACTGTCAAGGGAACACCGCCCACCGCACACTCACTTTGTGCAGTGACTGAGCCTTTCTGGTAGTTTGTTTCCTTGTTTGACGGGTGTATGACCTTGGTTTTTCCCAGTGTCTGATTTTTGTGGTTTACCCTCTTCACCTCCCAGAGGCACAACTGTTATGGGGATAGGTGTAGCAGCTATGTGCAGTGTTGGAGCCTAAAGTGGGAAAGATACGGTCAAGTTGAGAATAATAAACTGAGTCATCTCTCCTGGAGCCAAGTGAGTGTGTGGGGGCTGAGACTGCATGGTACTTCATACTGGAAAGCTCTACAGGCAGTAGCTGTGGTGGTGGTGTTGCCCCAGGGAGCTGTAAATGTTTAACTAGAATTACTTTTTCCATGAGATCTTTCCACCCGATTTAAGGGAAAGATCACTGGGCTGTTTGGTACTGAACTACATCTTAGGGGAAGAAAGGTCACTCTTCTGTTCTCTACCCTCAAGAACACTAATTCTGCTGCTTTTCTCATCCCTAGAGAGAGAAGTGGATGATGGATGAAAGATAAGCAGCCTTCATTCTTCTAACTTTCATTGGTGCCTGCCTGTGCAAGCCTAGGGTGGGGTCTGGAGGGGATCTTAGCTTGGTCAAGTGGATCATTGACCTTGCTGTTTCCTCATGAACTGGTGCCAGGAAGCCAGAGGGCTGGGCAGTTTCCACCCCTGCCTCCCACTGTGAATGGAGAGTCCCTGTGTTTTTTTTTTGGAGAGTCCCTTTTAAATCCTCCCCTGCCTCACCCCACAAAGCTTTGTCCCCAGTTCCTAAGGCGTGAAAAATACAGATTCACAGAGTCCTTGTTTCCAGCAATTTTATTGGCTGCTGCTAATTCTGGCCTGAGCACACCCCCTACACTCTCCCAGCTGGGAGTGGGTCCTCTAGAAGCATCTGGGCTTGGGTGGGATTGCTTAGTGGTTGACCCATGGCTGGGAGGGGGTGAAGATGAAGATGGTAGGCTGCAGAACTGACACCTCCACACAGCAAACAGTTCTCACATGTTGGCTTTCCGCTGTAATGGAGCTGCACTCTCCATGTCCCTTCTCCTTCAGTGCTGGGGCCTTCCTTGCTGAGTTGTGTTAGTCAGAAAAGCATCAGATTCTGAGAGCACAGGCTCCATGGTGCACCCTGGTGTGGGGGAGACACATAACTTCTGTTCGGAATTCACTGGAGGGAAAAGAAAAAGTGCTGAAGAAACAGCCAAGCTGGGAGGAACGCGAAGCTGCAGCAAGTTACCATTCCCTGGGCTCTCCCTCCCTTGGGCCCGCCCTCACCATCCTGCCAACATCCCCGGCGAATGTCACCCCCTTGCTTGCCCGCTGCTCCTGGGAGCTGGTGCTGCTGCCACTCAGGGAGTTCCTTCGCATGATGCCTGGGAGCAGGATGAGGAAGGGAGAGCACTGAATGAGGGAAGGGGCAGCGAGGGCCGGGGGGGCTAGTCCCCCCAAACAAAGGGGCAGATTCCCCAGGACCTGGAAGAAAATCGAGTTGGTAAGGAAGAGGTCTCAGAAAAAAGATGGAAGCTGGGTGATTGCAGTCTCACCAGGGCCTGGGGGCTCAGAGCGCTGCAGGCTGTTGCGGCGGGAGGTGGGGAAGCTGCCCTTGGAGAGGCGGCGCTGGCGGCTGGACAGCATAGCAGCTGGGGCCACAATACCCGGTGGGGGCTGCTTCCCCAGCCGGCCGTACAAGTCCTCAATTTCCTTTTTCTGTAGTGTCTGTAGTGCCTCCACCTCTGACAAGTGCCTGAGGACACATCAAGGGCATGAAAGGAGTAGCCACACACTTCGCTTTCCCAAGTTCACCTCTTGTTCCTCCATCCTCTCCAGACTCACTTCTGCCGAAGACTCTGCAGCTCAGCCCAGAACTCCTCATCCTCTCCACTGCTCTCTGACTCCTCGCTGCTGAGACAAAGGCTGCTGTAGGAGTAGTTCATCCACACCGGGCTGGGATGGCTCAGGGGTGGGGGGCTGTCCCCAACTTGGAGTTCCTTGCCATCCTCTCCTTCCTCCTCGAGTCCAGCCCCCAGACCCTCAGCTGCACGATCACTCTCAGTCAGAGCTTCCCTGGTCTCTGGCCCGCCTCCCGCACTATCCTCTGTGTCTGAGCTCTCTGACGTTGGCTGAGGGGTTAGAGGCTTCAGAGAACTGGAGAGAGTTGAGGATGTTGGTTGTAGAAGGGGCTCAGCTGGTTCCTTGGATGAAGTCACTTGGAAACGCCCAACAAGCTGGGCCTTTCCCTCTGCAGGGATACATGGAGGGAGGGAGAGAAATCAGTGGCAGGATAGAAAGTGGGTTAGGGATAATGGGCAGGGGAAGGTCAGTGATCAGAGATCTCACCTTCTGAGATGGGCGCCAGTCTGGCTTCGCTCAGGAGTGGCCGAGCAAGATTTGGGGAGGCCTACAAAGTGTAGGTCCATGAGGAAGGAAGGGATCCAAAATGGAGCCTCCCTAATCATCCCTCTTGGTTTCCTACTCACCTCACTCTCCATCTCAGCTGTGTGGGCTGAAGGGCTCTCCTTGCCACAGGGAGCGAGGGGCAGAGGAGACGCCAGGCTAGGTATTGGACTAAGAGGGGCTGGAGGAGATTGGGAAAGAAGCCCAGGGGCGGGGGACAGCAGGGACTGGGCCACAGTCATCACAGCCAGTGAGAAGGCACTAGCCAGTGAGAGGAGAGGGGCCGCTGTGGGAGAGGGGAGGGGAGCAGCAGAGGGGCATGGAGGAAAGGAAGGAGGATTAAGAGTGACCTGGGAACAACTGGGAGAGAATGGAGGTGGAGAACTGGGTGGGAGAGAACTCTGGGGAAACTGAGAGGATGGGATTGGGAACTCGAGTACCCTGGAGGAGAATGGAAGTAGAGAGCTGGGGGATTGTGGAGAGGGATTTGAGGAGATCTGGCAAGAAATGGTGAATGGGGAGGGGCTGGGATGACATGGGGTAGACATGATGGGGAAAATGGGACTTGGAGAAATGGGGGTTCCAGGGGAAAATGGGTTTTCGGGAGACAAGGGAGTTCCAGGGGAAGATGGGGAGGTGGAAAAGGCTGCCCAGCTCCTCTGCTCCAGGGAGGTGCTGCTCTGGAACTCTGCTGTGGAGGAGGGTGTGTTGAGGTGCCAGTCCCCCATGCCAACTGCCCTTCCCAGGGGCAACCCCAAAGGTTGGGATGAGCAATGACAGAACTCTACATACCAGTGGACGGGCCTGAGAGGGGGCCTGGGAGGGCAGGCAATGGCACTGGCTCCTCCTGAGGAAGAAGAGGCCTACAGTCATGGTGGGGAAGAGCTGAGGCTTAGATGAAGGTTTCAGATGGGGTTTCTTAAGCTAGGACCCATGAACCTCTAGGAGCCCATACATGAGTTTCAAGGGATTCAAAATCGTATGTGCTGAAATATTTACAGGTAAAAGGACATGATGTCTGCAACTTCCTGTCAAGGGCTCAGAAAACAATAAAAAGTATACATAAAGAAAGGGGAGAAAGAATGGTAAAGGTAATGTGGCAAAACACTAACAATTGGCAAATCTAGATAAAGGTTATCTAGGAATTCTGTGTACAATTCTTGTAATTTCTCTCCATGGCTCTGAAATTATTTCAAAGCAGTAAGTTAAAAGTGTACACTGAACACATTTTCGTACGACAAGAGTCCATGGCTTTCATCATATTCTCAAATAGGGTAAGAGTTACTGTTTTAGGGTCCCAGACATGATGAGAAGTTAGATCCTCAGGCACTGCCTAGGGCAAGGATTAATGAGCAGAGCAAAGAGTTTGTTCCCCCAGAAATGTCCAGAGGGGTCTGTTCCCTGGAGATGTCCAGAGGGTTCTGACCTGGGGGCCTAGGGTGTCTTCAGCAGCCTCCACGGGGCCAGTATCTCTCTTCAACAGGGTTTCTACTCGCTGGATAATCTCCCGAATTCGGCTCAGGAATCCATCTCGCTCCGAGGGCAGAATGAACTCATTATACACCTGAAGAGGGTTAATAGCATGGGGAGGGAGGGTTCAGTTATCTCACTCATCCCTCTCTCCCTGCTCCTGATTTTTAAAAACCAACCCTTCACACCACTGCTTCTGCCAAGCTATCGTAAACA